ACTAGGTAAACTAACAGAAGTTTGGAAACAAGGACCTATGTCTTCCGATAGAAGTGATATTCCTATATTTATTCCTCGGATGAAAAATACTTTTGAAAATTTTAAAAAACAAAAGAATAAATTTACTTAGGATAATCTGATTCAACAATTTGCCCTGTTATTATTTATTCTTGGTGGTAGAAATTGTTATGAATTTCTTCGATTAAATTTACCTGCTGCTTTGCCGCATATATCGAATGTTGAATTATTGATGAGAAACAATGAACAAAGAATACTTGAATGTGAATTTCGTTTTCAGTTGATAAAAGAATATTACCAATCTAATAATTGTAATTATGTACTTTCGTCTGAAGATGCCACTCGTTGTATCTCTCGTATTGATTATGTTGCACAATCAAATATTTTTATTGGTTTTTCTTCATATTTAGTCAATTGATTACCACAACCAAATTTTTTCCAGACGAATAAGTTTGATGAATTGAAGTTGTGGTTCGATACATTTGATAAATCGGCATATATTAATCTTCATATGGTACAGTCTGTAGCGTCATCATCACCTTCATTCATTTTATCGACTTATGGATCAAATAATAAGGCAACTGCAACTGATGTTTTAAAAAGATGGTTATATATCTACAATCAATTTTTACGTCAAGGTGCTCGGGCGATAGGTTTCAGTAGTGATTGTGACGCTCGTTATCTTAGAGCAATGAGATTATGTACTCGATTTTTTGCACAACTACCTAATTTAAATCTTGTTAAACAGAAAGATGATTTTCATTTACAGATACTTGAACGATGGTCTTGGTTTTTTTATGAGTGGACAACAAATTTTACTTTTCATGCAAGATCCTATTCATGTTGCGACCAAAGTTCGGAATAGACTACTTTCTGAAATAGCATCTATGAAAATGGGCGACTATCATGTTAGTATTGAACATTTGATTGATTTGATAGAATCAAAAAACAAAATCGAACAAAATTTAATTAAAAGTGATATCTGTCCGAGAGACAGGCAAAACTATGCTTCGTGTCGACGAATATCGTCGGAGTTAATTCTACAATTATTAAAAAAGATGGAAGATTGTAAAGGAACATACGTTTATTTGTCATTATTACGGTCAATTATAACAGGATTAATAGAAAGTTCTGGTGTATAGAAATTAATGCACACATCTTACGATACATTGTTTTATTAGTTATTGAAAGAAAACTACCTATTGGTGCACTTAATTCATATCTTTTTAATTCACAAAAACATGCAAAAATACTTTTCGTATAGGTCGTGCCTTATCAGGTCCGTATTCTTCAATTACAAATTCCACTGTTAAGTCGTTTACAAAGAAATGCGAAAAAATATCGATTATCAATTCCATTAAATCTCGTGGTGGACAAATAGGTGAATACCATTTTAAATTTCCACAACATCATAAACTTGAAAAGGAAACAGAAGCACATAACTATTCAATAAATCCTATCCAACAATTAAATTTAACGGAATTTGATATCGAAAAAATTATACAAAGTGCATTTGAATCAGCTAAGCAAAATATTGAAATCGTTAATATGACACAACTATTGAAAAATGAACATAGATATTCCATCTCCGAACTAAGTCAATATATAAAAACAAATATAAGTAAATCGTCATCAAAAGTAATAGATTATACGAAAGGCTTTGATTTTGATGACGAGAGTGACGAAGATAATCTACAAGATGATGAAAATAATTCATCGATGTCTGATGATATATATTAAATATCAGCGAATAGTACTGATGAAGAAGAAGAAGAACAAAATGTTATTTCTAGTGGTCTCTCTGAAGTTGAACGACAAACTTTTCATGGCTGCCGAATCTACGATAAAATTAATCCTCAACAACGTAGAAAAGATTTTCGTATTTATATCGGTTCGCCATTGAAACATATACATAAACAGACGACCTGTTCAATGTTAACAGACAACCGAAACCACTTATCAAGTGACCGGCTAGTGCAAGTTCGCACATCCGAAATGTGAATCATTTTTAAAAACTACTTCTTTTAATTTGATATTATGAAGCGACTTTGACGCCGTTTTCTGTTGTTATTGAATTATGTGTATATTTGAAGGAAAATTTCATTTCTATTATTGAAAATAAAATTTGTTTCTATAAGCCATTTACATATGAATGAGCTAGACTTCTGCACCAAGAAGGTGCTGAAAATGTGCTGAGGCGCTAGGGGTTCCAAACCTGCACTTTTCCCCTTGGTTTTTTAAATATTTTAGGTATATGTGAATAATTCATCTAATGGTAAATTGAATTTTACAATGTAAGTCACTATTATTTTTTTGTTTAGGATCGTCTCGAGAACAACTAACGGCGATGCCGCTTTCTTGCGAATAATGGAGAAAGTTCAAGCTCTTATTTTACTCACAACAAATCTAGGTAAATATAACACATAGAAATAAGGGTTAAGGATAGAAATTAGGGTTATGATTAGGAATCATATGGTTAGGATTAGGAATAAGAGATAAAATATGAAATTAACGGTTCGATAAAGCATTAGTCGAGAGTACTGGACCAAGTGAGTGTGGTGGACTACATTTTACTACTCTAAAACCATTTTTGGAAGAAATTGGAAAGAACTCCAGCTAGAACCAGATTTTGCTTGAACCTTAAATGGTTTTGAAAATGGTACACAAATATAGACCCTTAAAAGATTCAGTATGAAACCTATTTTTCTGAGTAGAATATATCATTATTCTGGTAATTAACTAACTATTTTGAAACGCCATTATAGTGTACCAGAAACTATTTAATGTACGTATCTTGTGTTGACTAAGTCATGCTATTGAACTTGTTTAACTTTCACATTGTTAGCTTCGAAAGTATCGTTATGAAAAGTTTTTTTTTTCGAAAATGATTTTTATATACACTCTCTAATCTCATTTTCTTTGTTATATTTAGACAAGTATGTAAAATGATAATTACAAAAATTTCGATTATTTTAAAATATTGAAAAGATGTTTTGAAAAATAAAACTAGTGTGTCTCAAATTTAGTAGTCATATTTTTATTTGCTATGAAACTCATCATTTGCTTTTATTCATAGTAAAACACGATGCATGTCAAATTCTAGTTAATTTATATTAAATAAAAACTTGTAGGTTTAAATTTATTTTGAAAAGATTTTTTTGAAAAGAAAGCCGTGTTTTGGGCGTGGCAATCGTCAGCAATTGCCTCGTCGTGGCCCGTCGATGATCCACACCCATCAGTTGAATGAAATCAACACTCTTCTGGCTGTCGAAAAGTAAACTTTTATTATTGGAAATAATTTGAAAACTTGAAATCCAAAAGCAAATGAAGATGTGAAATAGATGCACATACTAGGATGAAGCACATGAAGGGCATCGCCAAGGCGAAGGCCGACTCACCGATAAACAGTTGACACCGAAAAACATGTTTACAGCACATGAGATGAGATTAAGGTACGTAGATAATCCGAAGCAAGTTTAGCAAGAAAGTCTAATTTGTGTTTGTCAGAAGAGATGGCCCGACCAGAAATTTTGTCAAATCTAAAAGGATGTGATGATCATTTTTTAACTCGCCTTATCAATCTTATTTTGTCAATTTCAGTCGATCGTTGTTGTATTTTACCAGTAATAACGGTCATTTCAAAATGCTTACGTGTTGCTTGTTCTTTTCGCGTTTTTGCAACGTTTCTTCTCCATGTCAAAGTCAAAATCAGCATTAGAATCACCATGAGTAATACACAAGTGATGAAGGCGATCGTCAATCCTGCAACAGCACCTGTATATAGTTTAAGAGTTACTAAAGCAACCATTGGACTAAGAAATGAAAGAATAGTACAGATCACAGCAAGCCAGCGACGTTCATATCCTGTATCAACCGTTGTCCTGGGAAATGCGTAACTATACAGTAACAGTCGTAAGTACAAGTTTACCATCCAATTGAATACTTGAATAAGCTCAGCACACAGTCCGATCTGTTCAAGATTGTCAACAGTTGAGATTCCATCGTACCATCCGTAGCAAGTGACACTGCCCAAAAACTCAGTAATCAAAATATCGGATGAGTTACAGTAGAAGTGCGTATAATTATCGGATGTCGAATAGCAATCCATATCACGACGTCGTGTACATTTTCGATTTGGTGGTAGATAGACGGTATTTAAAATCATACCATCGATCAAGACTAGTAGCGTCGTTGCAATCACAGAGCTAGTCGTAATCAAGAGACACAAATGAGGTATCCACCAAAAGCGTTTATTCATCATTCTTAGTTTAATGCGTTTTCCATATAAATCGAGTTCTCCACATAAATGGCGTTCTCCATATAAATCTGGTTCTTCTTCTTCTTCTTTATCATCTGGCGGAATATACTAAATATCAAACATTGTTTTAATTAAGGCGTAGAACACGTGACGATGGATGAAGAATAGGAACACGGTGAAGATAAGAGAAAGAACGACTACGCTAAAATAAATCCCAACATTTAACCCATAATACGTTCGGTAATCCCACGCCATCTTTCGTAGTGCACCGAAAACGAAGATTCACAAAGTTACGTTTTTAGTATACAATAAATGGATAAATACAAAAAGCTGGATGTAACTTAGTACTGAAGAGGTCAGCATTGAGTGGCGTTTCATTGATTGAGCATTGAATGGGAGTATCTGGTGAATTGGGCAGTAGAAGTTCGAGGAAGAAGAAGACGGCGAAAAGCAGGGAAAACGATTTTGTTGAGTACGAGTTTTAAAAGAAGCAGAAAATGAAAATGGTGTGTGCTTTCCATTTATCTTATCTTTGTTAGTGTGCCACAAAAAGGAGACGTTGTTATCTCTTCCAGAGTAAACAGAAAAGAAATGAATTAAAGAACTCTTGCAAAGGTATGAAGTAGAATATCTGTGAGTGTCTAGTTCAGCCGCCACTATCATAATTTCGCCCCTGCTAAAGGAATCATCAGATGGCTTTGCATCAAGGAGGGAAAAGCGCGATTTCATCTACTTCAAAACATTTTTGAAGTACGATAGAAGTACAAGAGAAGTGTGGGCGTGGATGTTGGTGTGTGAAAACAAGGTGAACCCACACACATCACCATCAAATTTCACACACACACACTTAAAAAAAGGTGCTAAATATTTTAAGGGTTCTATATATCATTACCATTTTCTGAACCATTTATGAGTTCTGTAAAAACCTAGTTTCTTCTGGAATCTTTCCCTTATTCGAGAAAAAAAGACTATACAATTGCAGCAAGTAATATGAGTTTCACTTGCAACTTTCGCTCATTTGCCATCAGAATGTTCATGCTTCAAGATATTGCTGTTGTAGGTGGAGTGCGTAACGCAAAGAGAAAGTCACATTTTGAGATCCTGGCAGAATCTGTATGAGTCAAGTGCAACCGACGACATCCGGAAGGAGCTGGTACGGTCAATTAGAATCCACTAGAAACCAAGAATCGACTTTTCCCCTGGTCGAAGCACGCACTTCACTAGCCAAAGCAACACCGACAGAGCTCAGAGAAAATCTCCATAGTCAAACTGACTATTTTAATCATTTGCCATTCTATCAACATCTTCTTATCAGGTCAAATACCACTGACAACGACACCATAATAAATAAATCCATGACACCTACCCCATATCCCCACGACCAACACATGCTTTCACTCTAAGAGTGGCGATTTATTTGCATAATCGAAGAACCTAAAACTATGCTGCCTTTCGCCAATTAGAGTTTAACTGTGGCATTGATATGTTATTCGACACATACTCACAAGGTGCTATGTTTAAACCTCATTGTCACCAACCATGGAATAACCCTGAAAACGTTACTAACGGCTGATTGTTTCGGATGATTCATTCAACAGCGTATCGATTATATCAATAGTTTATATGCAGTGTCAAAACACAACTTTAATATAGATGTCAGGGTCATGTGATCCTATGTTGTCCGCTAACCTAATAATCATTAACGGAAAAGTGTTGGACGAATGAGATGCAGATACCGTCGGGTGTGAAAGAGAAAAAAAAGATAGAACCTGTCTATTCATGGATGCTTTAGCGCGGGTCCCAACAGGCGGTTAGTCTATTGAAACTATTACTATTATTATTACTGATTAGAAAGACTGGTGACAAACGCATGCATAGAGTTTATTCATCTATATCATAATAATAAATTTTATTTATATTTCAATATTTTATTAAACTAATTGATATACAATAACTGTAAATTAACGAGTTTGATGTACATTTATAACATCTCAAATACACCATGAGATCAATTTTCTAGCACGGAATTTGACTATCATTTGTTATAAGTTAGAATACTTCCGACAATTATTGCTTAATACATGCCTGTCGCAATACGTACAGCATTACTTAACAGTAAACAAATTGAATAACTAACACGCTTTTTCACTAGAAAAAAGATCCATAATTGATACGTAAATGTCTTTTGCTTATCTTGTTGATGAACCTGTTATTCGAGGAAGAAAAGGAAAAGCATGAAGAGCAATGTTTCAGTATCAGACTTACCGTGCTCATCGTGAAGCTTATCAGGAAACTATGACTAAATTTTTCTTCGGAAATGCTTTTGTTTATGTTAGTCTCACATTTTGTTACTTGATGTTTTTTTGTCTTTCTTACTCCTAGATCATTTTCTATCATATCTTGAGGACGTGCGGGTGTGTGGATTTAATTGAAGAGAATATATACACTCACACCCTGAAGGGTGAATGCCTAGGTATATGTTCTAACAATTATTCTTTGTGTTTTTCGCTCGTTACAAGATAGATCTAATTACTGATGTTAAAAAACATCAAACGAAAAGGCAATAATCAAAAAAAAACTTTTATTTGCAATTGCAAAGCACATGCTTTTGGTCTCTCTTTATCTTTTCTACATATTACTCTGATGGAATTAAAAGTCAGTTGTTGTTTCTTATTCTTCTGTACTCACTTTCAACACTCTGTTAGAGAAGTCAGAAGCAATACATTTTCTTGTTGCTACTAAAAATGCAAGGTAAAAATCAAATGCATCAGCGCTTTGGGAATCTACGCCAAGCACAAAGTTTAGATAATATTCCAAGATCATTTGATAGTTTCTACTGCGATGTCAATGAGAAGTACCATAGCGATTCAAGACGAAGACAAAGCAGACGCGATGAGGTATGATTCATTTCAACTACTAGTAGATTACTCTGAATATGTAAATGAGAGCTGTTACTGCTGATGGATTTTTGAAGAGTTTTACAGAAAGCCGATCTCTGGATGACAGAAATATTCGATGTGACTCACAATTCAAAGTGAGCCATCTTATAAAGCATCGAATATTGTCGATATCCTTACTATATTTTTTTAAAACTTAACGGTCCTATGTTCTACAGATAGCACCAGTGTTGACTCTCTACAAGATGGTTCCACTCAGAATTAATCTGTCTCATCAAAAGGCCTGGTCTTCCCATTGTTGCGATTGAAACTACTCGAGTTGTAACTTGAGTTATAACTGATTCAAATGTTGGTCAAAAAGCTGAATCAAGTGCAGCTACCAGCTACGGCTGCTAGTTATAGACATTCGACCCTATTCTTGCTGAGAGATTCGAGCCCTTATTTTATCACAGTAATAAGTTATTTTTCAATTCATGATAATTACATTTCTTCTGGAAACTTTAGCAGTTTTCAAATATACTTGTAAGAGTGAGTCTGACGGCGAAACCTATGTGTACTGGCAGGAGCAGATAGATTGGGTAAATAAAATTGTTCTTCAAAACCACATAAAAAGTGGAAAGGCTTGTAACTCTTTACTTAAAGTTGAAAGATATTGTCTCTATTCTTCTTTCACAGAACGGTGCAGTTCATGGATCACATCGTGCCGCCGAATGTCGCTGTTCTCCCATCGCGAAGCAGCAACAACTATTATACGGCTCGGGATTTACAAAATCAATGAACTGGCCTCAAATGAGCCGTTCAATATCTTCTTTCGGCCAAAACAGCGTTCGTTCAAATTTTTATCATCAACATGCAAAAGAAGGCTTTGTCTATTGGCCAACTGATATTCTTAAGGACAATCACAGAAAGAAACCGAAGGTCAATGACAGCAGACTTTATCTGCACAGAAATTACGCTTCACTATATATCCAATAGACATACTGATACAAAATTATCAACTTTAGCAGATCTTGGAATTACAGTTTAACAAAAACATGTTTCGTAGCTGTTGTCACATTCTTTGCATTTTTTTGAATTTCTCCAACTAACACCTACGTTTTTGCACCATGAGACGGAAATTGATGGCTAGAATAGCCTCGTCGGTTCATCAGTAAATAACTATCACATATTTAGACGGTTGATCAAAATAACAAAAATATAAAACAATTTGAAATATTTCATTGTATCTGAATTGATTCTTCTCACTATACTGTCTCATGAGGATCTCATGATGTTTTCACTCAGTTTCTCTAAAACAGTGGTTTCCTTTCTAGAGCGTAGTTCTACGCAGAATCCAGTGCCCAAAGTTTGCTCTTTCATTTTTTATCGATAAAGTACTCAAATGAACTTTTACAGTAGTTCTGAATAGTTTTATGGCTTTCAGTCATTGTATTAAAACCAAGCGAATGAGACTTATACCTGAAGACAAAAGAGTAAAGAGTACTTTCATGCAGGTCCGCCCACTTTTAAATCGGCCTTCTGCAGGCACGATATTTTACCATGTTAGTTTTGTAGCTCGTTGGTGTGGGTTCGCACGATATCTCTCACCTCACATCCACACCCACCTAATTTATGACTAAACGAAAAATACACTACTATCAAAGAATTGCGCAATACATGGTCGTAAGCAGAAAAAGAGTAAAAGTGTAACAGTGACAACTGACAAAAATTTGCCAATAAAAAGAAAAAATGAATGAAAAAATTTCACAAGGCAGATTCAAAAAAGATGGATTATTATGTGTATTTTTATCTAAAACTAATTCGAATAATCCAATAGTTTGATTTCTCAATTCACAAATTTTACATGACTAGTGGCTTAGAGCTAAAATATTGCGACTCGTAAAACTGTCGCGGAAGATTGCCGCCATTTTGAGCTAATATTTTCATTAATTTATTATGCAACCAAACATTCGTATTATAACTATCTCTCACATCATCCTTGTAGCCAAGCTTAAGGGCCAGCTGGATCCGCTTATCTCTTCGAATATCCAAACCTAACAATTTTGCTAGATCAACGATTGATTCCATCCAATTGAGACGTACGTTTAACTTCGAAGCTTTTGCAGTCAAAATCTCCTTAAGAGCTTTTAAAGACAACGATGGGTTTGTAGAATATGAATTCTGGGCGCATGGCCAATCTGTATTAAAGAAATTTCTATGATATTATTTCATAATAGAATCAAATTTACCTGCTGGACAGTTACCATTAGGGCGGCACTGCAGTATCAAGATTTCTATTTAATATTGAAGAAAACGAACTTGAGCTAATAAGCTTACTTGCCAATATGATATGTCCCGTGCATAACACTTCGCAGAATTTCCACACACGCGTCGTACGGTGAAGCCCTTACCATCACATTGTTCCCATAATTCAATTTTATCAGATTTGAACTGTTTACCTACGAACGAGGAAAATCAAATGTTTAATTAAATTTATGTCATTGCTAGGTCACTTTATGGCTTTTATTGCATTATTAGGCTATTTCTTGTTCTTAATGTTTCTTTATTCGAAAAGTTGAATTTAGAGCAGGTATATTACACTTTCTAGAACATCAATAGAATTTGATAATGAGAGAAAATGAAGTTTTCAGGAGGGAGTTCTATAAACGTTGATTTTCTAGAAATATTTGGTTGTTATTGACGTACTTTTTTGATTGTCTAACGTAAATAAAACAATTTTTGATTTGTTTCATAATTTTTTACACTAATCAGAAATTATTATTGAGTGCAGTTCTAGCACAAAATTGATTATTATCGTGATATGGAACAAGATGAGTTTTGAAACCTCTAATTTTGATTTCTCCTGTAAGGATTGTATTTTATGTTGATTTTACTCAAGTAAAGTAAAATAGTACAATTTCATTTTCCGCTGATTTCTCACATCAGCAACACGAGTCTATAATATTAAAAAATATGGGAATATTTTCAATATCATTTCATTATACATAAGTAGGATAAGAATAAGAATAGACTCTTAAAGTGTTCAAGTTTTTATCAACAAGTACGGAGTTTTATATTTTTTCAACTTGGCCTAATTGTATTCTATAATAGAATATCATATCTACATTTGATTTTCCTGACTCTAGTATCATTTTTCGATGTATAAAATAAAGCGCTACCATTGTTCTCCTTTGGATAAACTAACGGTAAACAAAAATATCACTATAGTATTTTCAATGTAGTTTGATAGTAAATTAGTAAACGTACCGAAATTTAGAACCATGAGAATGACCATGACACTGAATATAACGCAACAGGTCCCCATGTAAATAGTCTTCTTGAGCCATGGCCGATATCGAAACAACCAACTTCTTAACTTACTATGACTCTGGTCCCATGGATCACTTAACAAGTTAGATGCACTACCCATCAGCTGTTGTGACGCAGAAACTTCCGTGTACACACTATTGGTATCTGATGAAATTTAGAGTAATAAAAATTCGTTTCAAGAATATTTTATGAAAATAGAATTGGATCTCTATAAGTAATGTTGGACGATGTAAAAAAAATCTCATCGCCAATTAAATCATTCCTTTTTTCATAAAAATCAATCAAAGAAAGAGAATTCTTTCCGTAAATTCCCCTTAAACTCCAATATTGGCACATTTTGTGCACCATTGAATTTCGTCAAATAGCACAAATCGCTAAAAAAAACACTTTCACTAGGAAGAATGAAGATAGTGCGTAATATTTATATTATATATTTCATACTGACGATGAAGTTTTACCTCATCTTTTATAAACATATGACTAACGTAAAACAAAATTGAAGGTCATCATTTCGTAAGATTAGAAACTCTGCTTACCTGGTTCGCTGATCGATAGTGTAGTCGCGGTTAAAGAACTAAGATAGAAGAGAAACATGCATGTTATTGTATGTTGTTCGCAATGTTTAAGATCAAAAGCACTTTTATTAACTCGGAACCTTCTATTGCGCATGAGCAAAAGAAAGATACATAGACTATTTTCTTTACCTTTCTTTCATTAACAAGAATTGCCTGACAAGAAACAAAATCTTTGATTCGCACCATAGGATGACAATTTCGGAGTCCATGAATTCAAATTTTCATATATCCGTAGTAAATCACATGAATAGCGAAATTAAAGAAAACTCTGCCTGTAATATTAATGCAGCTGTAAAGAGTGATTTATTCTAGTTGTTATGGGAAATATAGCTTTCTTATTTTGATCTTGAGAGAATTTTATAGCATTAACTAACTATCTTGCAAAAAATTTTCACTACTTATCTTGTCTACAATGCCAGAGTAGACTTGTCAAATGTTCAGAAGCGGACAAACCACTTTGTATAAAAACTGAATAGATGATATTTGAGCTAAAATTTTTCTGCAAGTACTTGCACTATTTTAAGTCTATCTCAAATGTTTCAGCCTATTCGCTTGCCTCATAATACTAATATTCACTATCCATAGACGAAAATAAACGTAAATAAAGTAACATAGAAAAGACCATTTTTACATACAACGTCTCAGATATGCTCTAGATTCTAAAATCTACTAATAGACAAGATGTTCAATCAATATAACTCATCAGATCTTTTTATAAATTCCTTATCTATAGTGCATAACGTTTTTTTTTGTTGATTTCATCAAAACTTATCTCGACTGATAATCCAAACTGGTGTCATGCGAAAACAGTTGAGCATATTCGCACCAGTCTCTATGAAACAGCACCAAATGTATTTATTCAAAGACACACATTACTTTTTTTCTTAGACACAAGATGTGATACGGTGTATAAGGAATACTGTTATGAATTAATCGCAATTTCTATATCAATTGTAAGGTAGACTTACTCATTGTGTTGCTGTAAGGAGCGGGGTATTTCTTCTAAATCCATAAAGAACAAACGCTCCTCAATTTTGAACGCACTACTCTGAACGCGCAGACGAGTGCCTGGGGGCAAAACGATTTCACACTCTGATTGAAACGCCGAAAACTCCGAAATATCTTTCCCGTGCAAAGGCTGAATGCGAATAATTGTGCTTTCCTTGCCAAAATACAATTTAAGGAGATTTCCGTCTGTTGAGCATGAATTAACGCTCCACCATGTTTGAATTTCATTTCTTTTGATGTCTGTAGTAATATTTTTTGAGATGGCTCGCCATACAACGGTTCTACTCGAAGGCAATTTTTCCAGAGCAGACATAAATAATCTCAAGAAAGGAAACCAAGGTTTCAATTCTTCTCGATTCTCAGCTCGAAGAGATTTGTTCAAGCAATAAAAAAAAGAGATTGGCATCGTGTAAAGATAGATTGCCGCTGATTCATCCAAAGTCAAAGTAGTAGAGTTCTTGTTACATTTTCTTTTGGCTAGTGCAACTTTTTCTACAAGATCTGGTACAAACGGAACGATTGGTTTCGTAGCTTCCTCTAAACTTTGAAGAGGTAAATGTTGATAACCATCTATTGGACATCGGTTGATACCTTGAAGCTCTACGAGAGTATCGTTCCCATATCGACCACTTATGTCTGAGATCAGTGCAGTTCGTTGTAGCTCCATCCAGCACCGCGTGTATTCATCAAATTACTCCTGCCACTAGAATAGTAAAGCCATTGAATTAATGAAATTCTATCGAACATAGTTGAATCCAACGCGATGGTTTTCGTCAGAATGTATGTGCCTGTCTTTCTCAATTACCTTATTTTTTTAATTGCAAATTCAAGATACATATAATGTCAATAAAACATATAGGCTATTATTCTGTTTGTCTCTGTATATTTCTCCTTAGATTCGGTTCCTCAAACACTAAAAATGATAGATGAGAAGCTTATATACATATATTATCTTGCTCATTTTACTTCAGCAGGTACATACTTTAGGGATTTATAGTAGAATTTAGATTACGAATTGATCTAATTTACTATGGATTATCGTTTGTTTTGAAACTTTTACAATACGTTATTGAATCGCAGGTCAATTTTAATCGGTTTCGCTTTTCCTTTTAATCATATGTGCGTTGCTAATTCTTGATTTCATCGATAAACAATCCTAAAAACACCTGTGTTATTAATATATGTATGCATGGAACTTCTCATTCTTTTCCAGTATCTTATGTTCGCTACAGAAATAAAAAAACAAGAACTACCAAACTAGATGTTTTCTTACCTGAAGCTATCATTTCGAATAGAGAAATGAAATGAATCTTAAAGGTCGCCTTTCATACTTGAAGTCATATTGTAGACTTTTCAATATAATCCCTTATTCCCTAGTGTTTTAACGTAGCTGCAGTCATAACTATAGAAGATCAATGGAATCCTTCTTGATACTATTGATACAAAAAGATGAGCTACAGACAGCTAAGAACTGGCAGTTCCTGACAGTAAATCAAAGTTAATACAGAAGAGTGTCTTGAGGATATCCGGGTTAGAACGCTGTCATTCATTACATAGTTGCTCTTGTAACGAACAGCTAGCCATTCTTAATGATAAACAATTCATTCACTATAGTATAAGACTCGCTTTAAGAAATAAAAAATTACAGGTGGTGTTAATCGACGCACATGAAATTAAGTTGGCCTGAATATCTCATGCCTTAAAGAAAACTGCGAACGAACGTTGAAGTCTGACATTCTGCAAACGGCCAAACAAATCAGGAAGTCCTTTACATAATCGCCTATGCATGATTAAGAGCGAAATTAGTCATGTTGCTATGCTTAGGCAAATACAAGACAGTCAATAATGTTTTTTTTTGCCAAACGCATTGGGTACAACATTAAAACACTTTCCGTAAGAACCGAATGCCTTCGATTATAACATAACGTGATGAAGGATAGTTTGTTAATTATTTCGCAATATATTTTAACTAAAACTTTAGCTATTCTTTATATTTCCGATTACTCTAGCCTGCCAAATGCGTATATAGAAAGAAAAATAATATTTCTTATGCACTAGGTAATCAACAAAATAATTATGATCCTTTTTTTTTATCAGACTATGATATTAGTATGACATCTAGAGTCGCTGTGAAATTTCTGATATTAACCTTAAATGGGCTGGACTAAGCATATTTTTTTAAAATTAAGTGTGTACTGTATTATGCAGATATCATCATACGACGCCGATTAAGATTTTTGCGAAAGCTTGTATCCTGAATTCGAATCAACTAGGAACACACAGCTGCTAGAATGAAGAATCCTTTTTCTAGAAGGATAATTTCCTCTTACGTGCTGAATAATTGAATACTATAACAAACATGGGTACTTCAGGCTTTGGTTCCTGTATTTACTGCGTTTCATGTATAAATTGAAGCTCAATAAATTATTGCCTATTAATCATGGAAGGAAGTGATTTATATTATCATAAATCTCAATTCGTCTCAATGAGTGACAGTTATTACAGTATTGTAGACTACAATAACGCCAGGAAAATATGAATAGGCACATCAATAAGTATAGGAGTGTTGTAAAAATTGTATGAATGAGCGAAAACAGCTATGAAGTAAAGTAATCATATCAGACATGGATTCTCATGAGTTGGTCATAATCAATAGTTGCATAGACTCAAGGATAAGAACCAAAAGGAAAATCTGTGGCATCAATGTATCCCAGGCCATTATTGAGCAGTTGGATCTTGTCCAACGAGATGTGTGTGTGCGCATGCGTGTGCGTGTCAATCAATGGGTGTCAAAGAATAGAAGTATGCAAAATGGTCAGACAAAATTTTGAGATTCATGCATTGTCATGAAAGAATACTCCAGCAACTTGTATTGAACAAGAGAAATTAAAAAGTAAAATAGTGTAACAATGATTTTGCCGCATGACAACCATAATGTGATATGAATGAAAGCGTGATGGGTTGCGAGCTTTCACAAATGTTTTTCCTCCAGTAGTCGAGGTCTATTTGAATTGCCCTTTTCAGACCGTTACATAGAGTCGTTTCTGTAAAGTCCGGTGAAAAGCTACACATGAGCAGTCATTCAATTCCGCAATGTTGAACATTCCGGAACCAGTTCCGCCCCCGGAATCAGTTCCGTCGATTCCGGAATTAGGTCAAATATGAACACTGTCCGATTCCGGAACTGGTTCATCTGATTCCGGAATTAGTTCCTCCAATTCCGGAACTGCTTCGCCCGATTCCGAAACTGCTTCGTTCGATTCCGGAATTAGTTCGCCCGATTCCCGGAATTCCACGGAATTCAGTCCAATTCCGGAATTAGCTCAATACGGAATCGGTGGGAATTAGACGGAATTACCAGGAATTCCATGTGATTCCGTTCAATTCCTGTTCGACCTAATTCCCGGAATTCTGTGTGATTCCGTGTGATTCCGTTCAATTCCTGTTCGACCTAATTCCCGGAATTCCGTACCGGAATTGCATTCGTCACCGAGCTATAAGATACATCAATTGTCCATTGATCACTCAATTCCGGAATCGCAAGGAATTCCGGAATTACAACTTGTATCACTCTTCTAGCTTGTCTTATCCATTTCGTGATGATCCGATTCCGGTGCGGAATTCCGGAA